GTGATCTTGGATGGCCCGCTTCAGAATGCGTTCCATCACCTTGCACGGCACGCTAGTGAGGCTTATAGGCCTATAGCTACCAGACGGGAGAGGAACCCCAAATTGATTCAGCGACGCCCAATCACCCAATTACTCTCAGGGGTCACTGAGGCGACACCCATCATACATCCACCCACTTAAATCCCCGTTCACTGATTGATTCGAGCAGAGTCTTCGATAACATCCAGTTCACGATAGAAGAGGGAAACAATCACAAGCTGAAGCCTTGGGTGTCTTCGTCACAAGGTAACCAAAGAGACGTATGCAAACGGAAGTCTGCAGAACGGCTTCGCATGCGAATCAACTTCAAACTGCCATATTAATCATCCAAATTGCCACAAACCCAGTTGAATTCGGACACTACTGAAGCGGTTTGAAACCTACTACAACACAATGTATTCGAGGGCAAAAAAGGAGATTCGCCCTTCAAGAGGTGATTACCAAAGAAATTCTATCTGGACATCTTTGGAAATATGCAACTCAACGAACCCGACAAACTGAAGCATAAGTAAACAATTGCGCTGCCAAACGTCAAGGTCCTTTTGGGGATGACCGAAAGGATATCACGGCAGCACGATATAATAGTGGCCCACAGATCTACAAGTACGCCGTGAGAAGCACATTGTTGGCCAAAGGACAAAGTCGCTCATCTGTGTACATGAAGACCAGGGATGACATGAAGTCGATTAGAAGGATATGAGAGTACTGAGCCAAGGAAGAACAAAGGAGGGTGAATTCGTGAATGCGTGTTGGGAAGCGATAAAAACACCTTGAGATCAGTTATGTAAATCAGACCCTGTAGACCGTCAAAACTTGAAAGGAACAAGGAATTAAATAGGACGTTAATAGTACTAAAGCAAAAGAAAATTCGGGTTGAAACTCTGATTTAATTGGACCTGCGTTTGCAGCTCTCATCGCGGATCACCGAACCCGACTACCAAACCAACCAAAATCAACTGTTAAGACCCATGCATATACACCCTGGATTAGCGGTGGACCAATCAGGATGAACACAGAAAACAACTGAAAACAAAGGTGGGCCATCAACCAATCAGACTACAAAAAGACGGACCACCACGCAACCCATATCAAGAGCGGACCAATAAGATTCTAAGTGCAATAACGGTTGTCGGTAACCATTCAGATCATGAATCAGGACTACAATTTGGAAATTATATAGACTAGACTTACGGAATTCAAGGGAAAATCCCTCGCTGGATCAAGGCATTCCTATCACACAGATCATTCGGGGTGAGAATAGGCTCGACCTACTGCTCTCCAGCGCCGGTCTCCATTGGAGTTCCTCAAGGCTCCGTCTTGGGACCACTCCTGTTTCT